TAACATGATATAAAGCTCAAAAGGTTGATTTTGCATAATACCCAACCTTAAAAATAAAAATTCATCCATGTTTCTGTCAGTGCTGCACATTTTCTGATAGGGTTCATGTGACACACACACACACACACACACACACACACACACACACACACACACACACACTGTATATTTAGGCTGTGGTTTTACTGTAGAATTACTAGAGGCAATATGAACATTTGCAGCAGGCTGCATGTTTGTGTGCTTAAACACCTAGAAAAGAAAAAACAAACAAAACAGAGATGTGCATGGATGAGAACAGAATGGATACAGTGATGCTGTGTTTTGGAGACAGAAGCAAAAGATTAAAGATATAAACACAAGTATGTAATCTGGAGATAGTGCTGCTGTCTTGAGTTACAGATAAAAAAGAGAAAAAGAACGCACACTTGTGAATAAATACATTTTGTTATTACTTAGTGACTCTAATGGCTTCGGTTTTCCTCAAGATTAAAATATATAAAACCAGTGGAGTTCCAAGCTGTAAAGCTGGAAAGAAGCTGTTTAGATCTTTTGAAGTTTGAATCTTTGGAAATATTCTGAACAAATAATCTTGTTTTCCTGTTGTCATGACATTACTTAATGCTAATCTGCCATGCTTTTTGTTGTTTTTTTATTAGTTTAATTGTTCATAAGCTTTACACAGGATCCCACTTTAAACAGTTTGGATTGTTTTATAATTTGCTGTGTTTTTTTTACGAATCTCTAATGGCATTTTATTGCAGATTTGAGGCATTTTTTTAAAAAGAAAAATGTTTTATTCAACATTAGGTCTCATTTGGACAGAAGGCTCAGCTCCGGTTCGTAAAGGCTAATGCATTAAAACATCAAGCTGTTGTGTCTACGGCAAAGTCCTAATAGGAGCCGTATTTGTGGTTAAAGAAAGTTAAAAGGAGGTTTGCTCCAAAGTCTGTGATAAGACCCCCCCACCACCACCACCACCACCCCAGACCTCAGAGCTGTGATGTTACCCCACTCATGTGTGTTCCCATCTGATTCTGATCAGGCGTTTTACTGCAGCCCTGCGACAGGGCCTTGAGCTTTACAGACATATTCTTAGGCGTGKGGGGGGRGGGGGGGGGGGTTCAAAGTGACGGTGCCACTGACAGCCGAAACATAATTATGATATGTAAGTTGAAATACCCTTTTTATTACCAATCCAAACAAATCCATCTCTGTCGCGGATCACATCAAACGACGTCTGCGTGACGACAAACCGCCGAGTGGAGCCGTCGTGTTTGAGGCGTAATGAAAGACAAATGCTGCGTGTGTGAGGGCAGCAAAGAGTGTGAGGTCTGCAATTGTCACTGCATGTGTTGCTTTTCTTTTTTTTTCATTTTTTTAATCGTCTGAGTATGCTGCTCACACACGTGGGACCCTGCCTGCATGTGTGTGTGTGTGTATGTGTGTGAGAGAGAGCGACTGGAGATTTCGGTGCGTACAAACTATTAATTAGAGCCCAGTGTTTTGTGGTTACGTGTCGCCAGCCGCTCATGAAAGAATGGAAAATTCACTTAGATGAGGCGCCGTAAATCACAGCGCTCGATGAGACGCAGCGGATTGGACGCTGATATGTGCACCAGCGCGTCTCCCCCCATCTCCATGTGTGCCGTGGCGCTTTTGGGTGATTCCGCCCCACGTATAAATACATACGCATATATATATCTGTCAGCGCGTCCTCAGGAGAAGGTGTACATTAAGTTATTTGCGGCACTAATTATGACTTCGACGCTGCTTTTTAGCGTCGCGAAAGGCAGTGGAGAGCCAGTCAGTCCGTCGCTGTTTGAACAACGTTAAATTAGATGGAAACTTGGAGAGAGGAGACGCTTTATCTGCTCGCTCCTCTCTGCTCCTGTCTGCCTTTCACTTGTGAGTGAGCGATTGCGGCACGGAATTCCTCATCTCTCGGGCCTTTTGTTGGGGATCGCATCCCTTGAATAGTTTCCATTCCCCCTCCCCTCCGATCCCCCTTCTGCTCACCTCTTCTCTGGGTCTTTATTTATCTGTCTTTACAGAGGGAAGCACGCATGGCCGCCCCGATGCCCGGGGAGTGAAAATGTGACTGCCTGACAAACGGGCGAGTGCGGACAGACGTTTGTTGTGTCTAGACAACAAACGTTGCGATGCAAACTGGTCTCGGGGGGGCGTACTGTAAACTTATCACGGTGTTATTGTGTGGGAGACGTGCTGAACTCTATTGTGAACATGGAAAGCAAAGCACACATGTTTGACTAAGCAGACGGAGGAAAAGAACACATACAAACCAAGAACTGTTTGCTGGCAGCTTTTTAATAGGAACTCGGATTTGGGAAAATGCACATAAAAAGACCATTAATTCCTGCTTTAAATCTAGTTTGGACTAAGTATTTAGGGTGTTTCAACATGACATTCAACATTTGTCTCTTTGCTACAATTATTGTGTAACCAAGACAACTTTTAGAGCTGTTGCACGTCAAACCCAACCTGATTTGCTTTGCTCTAATTTGACCTGAAGTGCATACGTTGACGGTACATGAGCCTCATCGGGACCAGGGATGGGTACCAAATTGAATACTTTTTTAAGTACAGACCAAATTCTGTCCTAACRTAGCTTGAATACCTTTTATTTATTTTAACTCCATCCTCTTTTGCTTATTTGATTTAAACTTATTTGCCTTCCATGGACCTCCATCACACAATTTTTCTAGCGGGGAAATGACATCAATAGAAACACGTGGAGCTGGATTTTAATTGGTGCAGTAAGACAAAACACTCTTGTTGTTTTCAACAGTTTTCACTTTAAAGAAATAAGTTACACAATTGATGTTACAATACATAGAGTTGGATGTTGTCTTGATATTTGTTGATTTTATATAATGAGAAATATGTTAAAAAAATAAAAATTTATTATAAAAAAAAACAACACACACAAAGTACTGAAAACTGGTACCGTTAAGTACCAGTACCGATTCCCAGGTACCGGATATTGGTACCGAATCGATTCAAATGTCAAAGGTACTCATTCCTAATCGGGACTCGTCTTTTCCGTTTGAGATCACAAAAATTCCTGGTTTCATGTTCAGGACACGGTGCATGCTTCGGAGATTATGTGCAAATAAAATTAAGTCACTAACAAGTCAAACTCAAGCCATGATTCATCACCAGGGACTCAAAACAAAAAGTCCTTAGAGGCTGTTTTCTGTGAAAATCTGTCACCTCTTTTTTCCTCAAGCAGAAAGTTCAAAGTTGGATTTAGCATCAGGGAGGAAGGACGAGGCTGCTTCTTGGATGAAAGACTGCGCGCTCTCTTTAACCAGTTGGAGCTTAAATACGTTGAATTAAAAATTTGTCCGCTTGAGCTAAACCCTTTGTTTCTTTTGCTTCTGATGCAAAGATCAAATAACTGCAGTCGCCGAGACTTTTAGTGCTCCTTATTGCATCACATTGATTCCAAAAAATGTGTTTTCAAAACAATGACATCATACAGAAAGGACAAACATCCCATCAGGCTTCAAAGGAAGAACTCACCCAGATGTTGCTGTGAAACAGATCAAATCTGAAAGAGATAAATAAATGTTTCATGACGTTTAAATCCAGGACTGAAGGAGCAAAGTCCAGATGAATACGTCAGGTTTAGATTTTAAAAACAATATTTTATAGGTAAGTGGTTGTATGAGCAACCGCAGTTTCTGCTTTGTCAGTGGATCATGTCGTCCAAACCAGAAGGAAACAAGTCAAAAACACGAAGCGGGAGTTGAGGTGACGAGCAGCTGCACTCGGAGGTCGTGTTCAGGGTCAGGGCCGCTTCACTTTATTTATTTATTTTTATTATCCAATGAAAGCTGCAGACTCACAACTGAATGTTTCCAAGTGTCAAGTAATGATTTGTATCACGGGCTATGACCCAATGAAAATCTGGCATGCCACGTTAGTTAGCTGCTAAAAGAAGAAGGGCTCAAGGCTAGAAGGGAAATGACTGACCCGAGAAAATAGGAACAAGGGAAAGACACCAGGTTCGGCAGTTCCCACGACCAGAAAACTGCCCAAATCACCAGTGGCTCCTCTGCCCCCCCTCCCCTTCCATGCAGGCCATGATGAATGGGACATTTAATATTGCCCCGCTTAAGGGTATTACTGGAATGTAGCTTATCTGTCCATCTGAAACACACTAAAACAACCCTTTTCCCCCCCTCTGGTGGCATTTGCAGGAATGGTCTCCATTGTCAAAAATGTAAACCAAGAAGTTTCCAAACTTTTCAAAAGTACCTGATTTGGCCTAGATCTGACCAAAGCGATAAACCAAATCTGAGGTCACAAACCAGTGGTGGATAATTTGCCAGTGACACAGCTTGTTTCTTTCTATAGACTCGCAAATAACACCAGAGTGCCATGTTAAGTTACCATCGCTTCATAATTATTTCCTTTTGCCCGTCTGATACTGCAGACAGCAGAGACTCGTTTTTTGGGACCTGTGCCATGCTGATGGATGGAGAGAGGAAAGTTCTCATGAGCAAGTGTCATTCAATCTAATCCAGGTGATTAGTCATGCATTCTCCTCTTGCAAGGTGTGAGACCCTATTTTTCTTTCCTTCAAACCAGGGGCAACGTAACATGAGCACAAAGAAAAGAAAAGAAAAAAGTTACAGTGTTGGTTTCAAATAACGAGTCATGCAGAAAGTCAGGCACGCACTGCGCTGCAGGTGAGCTGTCCTGAAGATGACCCTGCATTTCTTTTTCTTAGTCTGAGACAAACGACGAGTCTCCTGTTTGATCGTAATTAGCTGTTACAAGTTTCCACCACTTCCTCTATCATATTAGTGTCATTTGACTTTTCCTTTTTTTTTTTCCTGTTTCTCCTTTTTTCATTACTGGACATCAAATGGACAGGACATTAAAGTTTAAAAAACAGCTGCCCACGCTCTCTCTTTCTGTTTTTCCTCTTGTTTCTCTGCATCCTCTCCATGTGCTGCTCCCTCCACCCTCAGAGGACCTGGATGACCTGCGGATGGAGGGCGTGACGAGGTTGGCTCCATCCGGCAGTAAGTTCAGCCAGGGCCGCAGCTCCTATCAGCCTGAACCGCAGGCCAAAGTTACACTCAACATCTGTTCTAGGTGTGCCAGGTAAATGTTTCCATCTTCTCTCGTCTGGCACTCTGTACCTCTACAGTCACTCTGATTCCATCTTTGTCTGTGTATGCGTGTATACTTGTTTCTGCTACAGAGCGAGGAACGTCAGTAGTTTTTAACAAAGTAAATGATAAATGATCTCTACTCGTATAGTACCTTTCTACCCAACCAGGATACTCAAAGCGCTTCACACTACAATCTGTGTCCTCATTTACTCATTCACACAGCACTCTACCAGATCTCCAACAAAGCTAACATGTACAGTCAGCTATGGAGACTAATCAGTGTCAATCACATTCATACACTGATGGCACACATCAGAGGCATTAGGGGTGAAGTGTCTTGCCCAAGGGCACAACAACTGAGACAGCTGGAACGGGGGATCAAACCAGTGACCTTCCAGTTCCAGGATGACTCCCCTAACCACTCTGCCACARCCGCCCAGAGTGARGTCATTTTTGAGACRTGATTATCACTCTTTTGCTGTTCTACTGTACTCTACTAGTTAATCTTAGAGGTGCGAATTAAGTTTTAATTAAAGTTAGGGTTAGGAATACTAGTAATGGTTAGGGTTAGGTTTGTACTGGGTGTATAGGTTTAGGGTAAGGTGTAGGAAAAATATGTGTTTTTCAAAATGGTATGTCCGAATAAACAAGAATCTGCTGGATTTCTTCTTAAAACTTTATTTTCAATCTTCTGACTCCAATCAGGTTCACAGTACAGCACACAGGCCTCAGTCAGACCTTGTGCTGAACCAAAACWCAGCTGCTCTGCTCTGAGCAGACTCTGCAACACACTGACTCTTCTTACTACTATAATAATGAATTGACCTTATAATGTACATCTCTTCCTGGTTACATCTCTTGGAGGTGTTACCTTTTATGTCAGACATCAGAATGTAACTCATTTTGTTTAGACTAAATAAAGAACACATGATAAGACACACCAACTTTTTATCTGCTTTAACCTTAAAGGCTGAAATGATCAGAAAGTATAAAATACAAAACTGCATCTAACATTCAGTTAATCAGTTACAAAATTTTCTTCAAAGAGTTAGACTGTAGAAATGACCGGCAAATGAATGGAAGTCAATGCAAAGTCCCCATGAGGATACATCAAATGTGTCTGTATGTACTTGTATTTGTTACGTTTTTCAAGACCAGTAGTCCATATGGGGACCAAAGACTGTTCCTAATATGGTGGAATTCCATTTTTGGGTTGGGTGTTAGGTTTAGGGTTAAGTATGTACTGGTGCAGTTATTTTTAGKTTAAGGGGTCAGTGTTAGTTTATAGAAATGACTGGAAAAGAACAGGAGTCAATGAACGGTCCCAATAAGGATAGAAATACAAATGTGTGTGTGTGTTCAGTCAAAATTAGTCTTTCAAAAAGTCTCACTCCAAACAGAATATGTACAACAGGTAAGATAAGTGAAAAACCAAAAYGTAAGATCAACCTAAAAGTGGTACACTGAATTAGGCAAATGAGAATGGAACTTGTTAAAAATGACACTTCATTGTGAAAGGCCTTAAAATTTGATATTTAATTAAATTCAGTTCAATTCAAATATACTTTATTGATCCCAGAGGGAAATTAGGTAAAAATTAGGATTGATGGAAGTGATGGTTTGAACTTCCTCCTTCTCTCTCGCCTCTTTGCTCCAGCTCTGCATCCATGATGCCTCCTTTTCAACTCCTCTGGGATTTGCGGCTTCAGTTGATGTATTATTTCAGATTTTGCAATATTAATCAGCTGCTCCCTGTTGTAAACCACCCTGTTGCTATGGTTACGCATCATAACAAAAAGCAAAGTATAAAAAAAGTATTGGCAAAAACCAATCCAGCTGCACAGCACCCAAAACACAAATGAACAGCCGTCCAAAAAAGTTACTTTTTCCGCAGAAAGGCAGGAATGAATGCCTGAAAAGAAAAGAAAATCTCAAAAAAATACAGTAACAGAGCTACTCCAACGTGCTGCCACCCTCAGCGGCGCAATTCCGGAAATAATTTAATTTAATTGCATTTTGTTAAAATATAACTAAAAGGCACAATATTGGGACACATTTTTCCCCCCATCTTTAGTAGAATCACATGTAGCAGAGATTAATGTAATGTTCCACAGTGTTTTCGTGATTCTTCCATGGATAAACATGATTTATCACCATTTTTGTCTATTATCACTTTAAAGTCGGCCAGCTTCAGCTTTCTGAGTCCTGGGTGCGATCCGGCAGGCAGGTGTGGGCAAGGTTCTTTCTCGATGCCAGTCAAAGATAAGCGAGTATCTTCACCAGACGCCAGGCACGCTCCTGCCTTCACAACCTCTGCTGTTTGGGATTTGTGTCTTCTTTCATTCCTGCACCAAATCAGTGCTGTTCCTCCCACGGGCTGCGGGATACTGCTGAAGGATGTGTGGTATCGCTGGATTTCTTTGTTGGCAGTTTATTTACCTGATGTTTCTGAGCAGATTGTTTTGGCCCTCACTCCCGGTCGTATCAGTGGCAAGGTGAAGCAGCGTCTCTATCACGAGTTGGTTTTGGCTCTTGTGATGATTTTTTGTCTCCACTCTCTAAAACCTAACACCCAAATCTTTCATTGGTCTTATCATCTGAGATTTATGGTCTTCCAAGTCATATTTGGTGCAAAGGATACAAACAGATTAATGGGCAGGAAAAGATGCCTTTTTTTTGGTTGTTTGTGTGTTTTGCAGAAACACGAGTTATGAAATCAGTTATCCATTTCACATTGCACAGACACAAATAGAAGCTTGCTTGTTAAGTCATACCATAGTGAACAAAGCCATATCAGAGGCTTCATTCATTATTTCTTTGTTGCAATTTTTTTTTTAGAAAAACATCCAAAACATGTCCTAATAAATGTAAATCTTCAAATTTGCCTTTCAGAAAAAACCCACCCGTGTTAGTCACACTGTTTATATCGTCATATATATATA